AACTTTCCCAAACAAAACAAACAGCCAGATTTAAAAAGCAGCAGTCGGGGGCCCGTCTTGTTCGGAGTGCAGAGAGGCAGAGGCTGCCGGCGTGCAGCGGTGTTCCTGGCTGCAGGAAGGCGGCGGGAGAAGCRGGAGCTCCTCCCGGGAATCCGCTTGGAGCCGCGCGGCCTCCGGCGCCGCGGCACCCGCTCAGTCCATCCTCACCAGGGCATACCTGTCCGTGACCTTTTCCTCTGCTTTTTACAAAGGCAATAGATAGGAAACACAAATAAACCTGCCAAAACAAGAAAATGAGACAACAGGCAAAATTAATCGCCGTGCTTCGTGCAGTCATTTCGTTCTTTTGGGGTACATACAGCATTCAGTATTTACATCTTTCAGAGCACTTTGGCATTTGGATAAGCAGGAAAAGCACACRGGATTGCAAGTGGTGCTTTGGTGACATGTTAAACTATGTTCTCCCCTCTTTACCTTGGAACAAACTTCTGCTAAAGCCCCCATGCCCRACAGAAATAAATCCCTTACCAATGGTCTGGTTTGTTACATATTTTCTAAAATTTCTAAGTTTTATATTTTTTATAAGTTTTTAAGGTAAATTTTTAGAGATAAATCCAGGGTTGATTTAATTAAACCAGTTTTCATAAGCATGTAACATGTTCATCTAAAAAGCTAAAAAATATTTACTTACTGTAACTCTGGAATTCTGGGTTTATTTCTTCCCCAAATCCCCTTAACTTTTAATTCAAGAAGTTTCACAAGTTTTGAAGACAACAAATTGCATCTAGACTATTTTTTACAAGCATCCTTATTGATCATAAAGTGAGGTGTTTATTCCTGACAGGCATTATTTTTTTAATCAAAAGTCTTTTGAGTCAAAGTGTAAAAGGTAAAACTAGATTTAAGTGAAAAACAGTTTGTCATAAGAKAAACTATTTAAACACCAAAGGAAAAAGAGCCTCTTACTTTCCCCCTACTCCCCACTAATTGAGATGTCAAAGAATCGCTTTTCAGGCACCACCACAGTAACAAGCTATAACAAAACACTAGTGGGGTTCTYGCTATGAATCATCTTTTTATTGGTGTAAAAGGGCTCTCAGCTATGCTACTAAGATTACTTCTACAAGTGTGCTGGCAGTAAAGTATTGCTGTAATTCCTTCAAAAGCAAAACTTTGCTGTAAGTGATCAATGTCTTTGGAACAGTACACACTGCTCTCTCCTGGATGGCCTCTGTTATCTGGCCAGATCCAGGGTGGGAGTTTGGTGGCAGAACAGGCGCTATTACAGCTGCACTCCTGGAAAACCCTCTTAGATTTAATTTTTAATACAAGCAAAAGATGGCTTTTTTTCCAGCAAAGATTATACTAGACTCCGGAGCAAAATAAGCTTTACTGACTACATTTTTGGCATAAAAAAGGCCACCAAACCAATATATACCTCCTCAGCCAACCCAACTCAGAGTATTATTGCAGAAAGTGTATTTTTCATCTAGATACCCTAAAATATTCAGTATATTCCTCATCACAGCAGGCATATCCCAGAAAATCTTTATCAGTATATTGGTTATATGCTAACCGGTTATGTACAGTCTTACTGATGCAATTACCCTAACCCCATACTGGCTTCGTTACATCAGAATAAAGGCTCATCACTGCACTGTGATTCAGGGATGGGCATTCAGCACAAAGGTCCAATGACCTGAAGAAATTTGGCGAAGGGCTGTGAAGCAGCAAGATCCACAAGTGGCACCTTACTGCCAATATGAATGAATAGCAGCTAYGCACTTTCACAGGCAAAACTACATCTTGTAGCATATCTTGAAGTTGTGTTCCGCTGGGGTGYAGAATGGAAAGGTCCAAGGCAGCCAGCCCGTGGCACTAGATATAGATTATGCAGGCCTTTTTGTTGTTTTAACCATAATAGGCAAGAATTTTGGATCAGAAAAGCTTTAACAATTAAAGAACAGTGGGGGTGGGGGGAAGAGAGAGAGGAGGGAGAAGAGAGGTAGTCATAAAATCAAGGAAAGCAGTTATAAAGCTTTAATATTCTGAAGACATAAGCCCCCTAAAAAAAATGTGCAGGTTTAACACTAAAAAACTCTGTTTGTCCATCTCAGAGAGGGAAATACTGAAACAAGAAAGTCATGCAACAGCCTGGCAAACCCATCCTGTAATTCACGCAATTCTTACCTATTACAACAGCTACAGCTCCCAGTGCCAGTCCAAGAACCAGTATTAGGGGTGTAATGAGTAGTTTTCCAGCTGAAACACAAAATTCATTTAAATATTTCAAAGCAGGCATTTTATTTCTCCCTCCCCAACCATTCACAAATATTTGGATAATGTGACTTCTCAAAAGCTGGTTGGGTTGTTTTGAATACCTCACCAAGGTTCTTATTTGGTAAGTCATCCTGCCAATCCAGCTAGGAATCACCCCCAAAAAGCCAAGTCCTTGCACACATTGCTCACTTTACCYACCACAATTCTCTAAAAACAGCTTGTTTTGGGTATTAACAACTAACTTCATCTTCCACTCCAAAATCCTTCAGGCTGGGACAGGAACACAAAGGATATAAGGTTACAGTCYTCTGGCTTTACAGAGATTCTCCAGAGTCTTGTTGTACCACAACCACCCTGGGAAGATGCCAAGCAAGCCAGTATCTCTGGGAAGGGAAGGTTCGCTCAAGGCAACAGTACCAGCTGCTATCTCCATGTGCTTCTCCTCCCTCTAAAAGGCTACGGGAACGTCCTCCTGTACTGCTGCGATTTAGGACTAAGCCTAACCACTGCCAACGCTATTTTGGATCAGTATTTGAAACACTCTGTTGCTGCTCCTACATGAAAAACGTGACAGGGCTGTAACACTGCTCATCAGCTAGAGCATGAGGCTCTGAGATCAAATGAAACCCACTCTCATTCTTCACATTTTTTTTCTCCCCTTGATCTAATCATCTGTATAATGGCAAGGAAGGAGGGCAGAACTCCTTTTGAAACACTGAACGTATTTGACTTTGGTTCAAAGTTTAGTTTCAACCAACCTGGGCAGAATCATTCTCACTGTGTTGGCTGAGTTACTCTTAAGAGGCTCCTTTTCTCAGCTGTCTGAAAATGCAGCGTTCTCGAGCACTTTTACTCACACACCAGCAGTTTGAACAGACATTTGAAATTCAACAGTTCTCTATGTTGAGCATAAGCTGGAAAGATTACCTCTAGGAAGGGAGGAAGAGCCAGGTCATTCTCTTTCCCTTCCGTCTCCCAAGTCACTTGTATTAGATTTCAGTACATGAATTACTTCATTCAACAATGAWGTAAACCTCTCCATAACCTGACACACTAATTTGGGCAGTCTGAAGGAAAAATGAGATATTTTGGAAATATTCACAGCACTCAATGAATTGGTCCTTTTCACACTTCTGTTCTGTTAGTTTTTAAATTTCTTAGGAGTGTTGTGATTGGGAAATGTTAATTCCTAGAATAAAAAAAAATCTGGCAAATACTATCGGTATTACTCTATTTGCCAGGCATCCTAATGGTAGACCTTTAGGGACTTCACCGAGTTGAATTATACATACACATAAGCTGTCATAGCCTCAGATAAGTTATTCAAGTGCAGACAGGAGAACCAATGTCCAAGAATGGAAAATTCAAGTAAGCTCTAAAAAATCAGTGATAAAAAATACCTAAAACATTAGGAATACCTTCAACAATTTTAAAGTAAAACTTATAAAATGCTCTTTTAAGACGTAAGCTCTGTTAATAACAATATACCACGTACAATATACCACTAACATTCATATTCACGTAATTTGAATGTTAGATATCTGATAGCAAAATTATTAAGAACYTAAACAGAAAACTGAAGCACAGAGAATCCAGATTCTATAGAAGGGCTAAGCTAGCTTTGACGCAAATAATTTCTTTGCGGATACAAATCACGTTTCCTAAGCTAATTCTGTTTAGTATCTTGTTGACTCATATTCGACAACCTAGCTCCGAGCTGGAATAAAGCATTAATGTTTGCCTTCYTCCTCCTGCTTGTGAATAGGATTAGTTCTATGATCTGTAAGGATGGAATGACCTTTCATCGGCATGGGACAACCAATTCGCTAACTGTATCTTTCTTTGTTAATCAAGGCATTCTTTCTAAATGTTGAGCTTTAAAAATTAATTTATTATATATGTATTATATCCTTGTGTATCTATACAATATCCCTGTATACAATGCCTTTATAAATTATGTTTCTTTACTTTTACCACACAAAACTAAGCAACAGGTTACCACGACGTGGCTGACAACTCTACCCAAATCGTTCATACACATAAATCGTGACGGGTTATGGAGGCTCCAAACCACAGCTAACGCACAACCAAGGAATGCTGCCGCGAGCCAGGGTGTTAGAGCCACATGTTCCACAGGGATCCATGGTTCCAGCGCTGCCGGCTCGGGGCCTGCGCGCAGGGAAGCCACTCAGGCCGGCGGGGGAGCCGGCAGGAGCCCTGTTACGCCCCCGAGCCGGGCGACACCTCGGGCCTCCAGGCCACGCGCGGAGCTCGGCACCACGTCGCGACGTGGTTCGGTCACGCACCAGCTCGCGCTTGTAGAGGGTAACTACGGGCACTGTGGTAAATAAGTCAAGTCCCAAAAGGGAACAGAATCACAGAATGGTCTAGATGATCTAGAGATCATCTCGTCTAGATGATCTAGAGACCATCTAGTCCAACCCCTCTGCTCCAGCAGGGACACCCAGAGCACAGGGCGGCATCCAGGCAGGTTTAGAAGATCTCCAGAGAAGGAGACTCCACAGCCTCCSTGGGCAGCCTGTGCCATGGCGCCGTCACCCTCACAGGAAAGAAGTTCTTCCTCACATGGAGATGGAACTGCCGGTGTTTTAACTTACACCCATTGGCCCTTGTCCTGTCACTGGCCGCCACTGAGAAGAGCTTGGCCCCTTCCTCCCTACATTGCCCTGTCATGTTAATCAGATCCCCTCTCAGCCTTCTCTTCTCCAGAGAAAAGAGGCCCAACTCAATCTCTCCTCACACGAGAGATGCTCCAGTCCCTTAATCATCTTTGTTGCCCTCCACTGGACCCTCTCTAGAAGCTCCACGTTCAAAACGTTTTTGGAATTCTCCTTGTAAATAAATCAAGCCCCAAAAGGGAATGYTTTTGGAATTCTACTCAGATCTATGGCAGGAGTTTCACTTTTGTATACAGGTACTCAACATGAAGGTACAGACCTCTGTAGTAACATAATATTTACATTTTGAGGACTTTCAGATGATTTCAGAGAAGTTGCACTGCTGTTGATATACAAAGACAATATTGTTCTGGAAGAGAAGGAATCATTTTAGGAAACATGAGGGAATATTTTCCCTTGCATAACTTTCTATATATTTCCTTAAAAGTACACCGAAAAAAATCCTTTGAGAATTCTTTTCCACATAAAAACCTAATATACCAGTTTTGGAGAGCAAAAGTAATGACCAGCATATGAAAGACGGAAAGTTCAGTCTTCCAAGTCTAAATATCAGTATATGCTTAACTAGAGCAACTGCAAGTATACATTCACAAATCAAGACAGTCATATCTAGCTAGATTTAAGTTCTAGTACAAGCTCCCATCTGTATTTTAAAATGTACAATCAAGTGTATAATGGGCATTGTTACAAAACAGACTGAYTTAAATAACATTTCTTTTGTAGTGCACCCAAATGTGTACGCATAAAGCAAACGATGCASTCTGCTTTTTTGCACAGCAGATCAGTCTGATTTGAAAATATGTTGTCTTCAGATTCATATTTGAAATGCTATACACCATGCATTTAAAAAATTGTTTTAATGGCTTCTACTGCATAGTCTGTCCTATTATACCTACGTTATTAGCAAACGATTTTGAACATAAATTCACCCAGCTGAATGCAGGGGACACTTAAGTGGCATCTGAAACACGCTGAAGACAGTTAAACATAAATTTCTCCTTTCTGTGTTTAATAAGGAATATAACTTGCATCTAACTCAAGTTATAATTAAATATTCTGCCTTCAACAACTAAGCTAAGCACAGTCTAACCAGTATGAGGATCAAACCTTCAAGTCCACCCAGAATGTAGGATAAAAGCTATTTCATATTCCTGTTCAGCAAGGTAACATGGAAAACTCTCCTTTAAGAACACATGTGGGCTAAGGTGGGGAGAGAAATGCCATCAAATTAAGTATTTGTTTATGCAAATCCCTCAGTTTATTTTCTTCTTTTCCTTCTTACTTCTATTTTTTTTACAAAGCCACTGGTTTATGAAGAACAGTATGTTTAAATTTAATGCTATTAATTTATGTTGCTATAAATGATTTTCCTTTCCTTTTATTACAGAACAGTCTGTGATTGCAGGCATGGACCTTTACTTCTAAACACAAAATATGATCGTAAGCCAGAGTCTGCCATAAAATGTTCTTTCCTTTTTACACACCCCATCCACATGGATTAAGTTTAAAAAAAAAAAAAAAAAAAAAAAACCCAAAGAATCTGTACCGTACAAGATCACCACATTTACTTCAACGAGTACACTTCTTTTCCATAACAGGAGCACAAAAATCTTCACAGGTTAAAACATATCTAACAACACCTCATTCATGTCCCACTTGCAGCTAGAAGTGAAGTTCTCTAAGTAGAAGTGCATTTTACTATAGTAAATCCTACTTTCTTTCCCCTCGTTGGGTTATATATTACTACAATTTAGAGGCTGTGCTTCGTGTTGACCCTTTCCTCTGCATTCTGCTCCAGTCTCCTTTTTCCAACACACTCTGAGCTTGTGTTTTGTTACGAAAAATAATATTCAAAGATAATGATAAAGATTCTAAAGAAGAGTCTATAAATAAAGACAGCAGACAATGATCAAGTTATTAATATTTACTGAATTTTATGACAGAAGGAATATAAAATAACATCAGCTATAGGCCATTAAAAAAAAAGTGAGGAAGGAGGTATGTGCTCTGCAAAATGCATAATAGAATCTACTGCAAAAAGCCGACAGATGCTATGAAGACAAAACTGTAAGTCATTAAAGAATAATTGTATAAACTGGTGAAGGATGCATCTATTGACAGTTATCAAGCAAAGATGCAGATGCAAACCTCAACCAAGGAAGACCCTAAAGCAGCAATTACTGGAAATACAGTGACAAGGACCTTGTTTCCCCTTGCCAAGCTCTGCTACACAGACCTTTGCACTTGCCCAGCTAACGAGAAGCTCAATTCTGCTGCAGATGGCTAAAGCTTTACAAGGAAAGCTGCTCTTGCCCAAGCCTCCACCCTGCAAGGGGCAGAACAACAAGCTGGACTGACATCACTCAGAGCTGTGGATGTCTTTGGAGAGGGATGTCAGGAGACCACTTCACAACAACGTAAGGCCTGCTTAGGAAATTAAAGGCCTGTGTAAATCAAGGACCATCAAGAACCCACTAAGTTAAGCACAGCTAAAATCTTATCCAACAGAGGAAAAGTAGGTGTCTAAATTCTTGATTCCTACACAAATACAAGTTGCCACATCTTTATTTTTCAGATTTCAGATGTGAATGTCTAAAGAGAAACCTAGAATGCTTTGCTAGTTATTTAAGCAATGAAACATAATTTACATATATATATGTATATATACACACACACACGCGCACACACACACACCCATAAATCTAATTTCTCTATGGAAAAGCCTGATGGACTTAGAGTCCGGGATATCAATGCAGAACTCTGGCTCATTGGGAACTTGGGTTTTAACAAACTATTCTAAAAATCATGGCAATTATTATGTTTTTTGGCAGAAGCAGTTGGCTTCCTCTCTGTTAACGTGAACATTCCTGAGGAAAATAACATATTAAAACAGGAGAGGAGTCTTGTAGAGCAAGTTTTAACAGCAAACTCTAGGAGAAATTTAGGCTGAGGTTTGGAACTTTGCTACCCTTTCTTGGCTTACTAATTAAAGAAAGCCACAAGCATACTCACAAACAGTGATCATTCACATATAAACTCATTTTCTTTCTTGTTAATAAAAGCTTCCCCCCCCTTTTTTTTCTCTTAGAGGAAGATATTTTGTACAACATTTTCATACATTTAATATACATACATTATGTATATTAAAATCATGCATACACATTTCTGACATTAATCAGCAAACTGCATGTTCGGATACTACAAGYGTAAACCAATGCAAATGTTAAAGCAGGAATAACGTAACTGTTGGCAGATCTAATTTTGTGATAAAAGACAGTGCTTATTTATATGTGTATTTCCATGGCACATAGAAGGTTTAATCTTGAAGTAACATTCCCTGTGATTCTGCAYGTGAGCAGCACAGAATTTGTAGTCTCTGAGTACAATCCTTTGCTATCACACATAGTAACTCTATCAAATGTACCAAGATCCATTTTAAAATAATTYACATCAATTGCTATGTTGCTTTTACTGAAATCTCTTCTGAAACTTTACCACGTGGTTAGAAACAGCCTCTGAAACCTAAATTTATTCATGAACAGTTTACATCCATTTGTTGTAGTGCCTGCACTTTCTTTAATCTTTAATAGATCTTCTCATGCGTTGGAATTTATCTCTATAAAATATATAACAGTAAACAGTAAACATATACAATTATTTTGAATTCTATCCTCTTTCCCATTTATTTCTGCTTCTTATTATTTTCTTRTTAAAGTTTGTTTTACAGCCTTGCAAACTACTGAGGTCCAGCTAATGGGCCTGTATTACTTATTATCATTTGTTAAACACGCACTCGACGTTTGCTCGTCTCCCACAGCTTTGTGGATCAGCTAACAATTGTTATTACCAGGCCTATGAGTTTCTGCGCCAGCTTCTGTCTTACTGTAAAATGGAAATCACCTGATTTTCTTCCTGGAACACATTTGGCTCAGGACTATTGTTTTCACTTCAAGACTACTGACATCTACTCATTCAATCTCTGTATTCAACATCATCCAGTCGAAAAACTCAAAGCATTTCCTTATTCTAGGTAAATTCCAAATCATCTCTAATTTCTTTGCCTTGTTTCAAAGTACAAAAAAAACCCCTTTCCTTAATAGGTCCCCAGTTCTTAATACGGGTCCTAGCTTAAATGATACCTTATATCTGTACTAATTTTATATGCTGTAGCATGTTGTATAATGTACAATGATTGTTGTGCTTCTTTAAGGTTGAGATGGGTACACACCTTGTTCAAAAGCAAATTAGCAGTCAGGTTTTGGCGTTATTTTCTTATGAATGATATCTATCTACAAACAAACTAGGAGTATGGACAAAAAAAGTCCACAGAGGAGAACAGTTAACCACCTCCTTTACAAATATGATGTTTCAGATGCTTCCTTCTCTCCACTTTCCTATTGGGTAGCTCAGATATCCTCAGCTCAACAGGCAAACTCCACTGTTCGGGACAACCATTTCCCTAGGTGTTACACGGGGTCAGTTCCCCTCTAGGCACTTTACATGGTGACCAGACTCTGCTCAGACTTAGCCAAATTTCATCATGCCATGACCCACCCTTTGGCAACAGTCAACTCCTCCTGCAGATCCTTTTGTAGATCTAGGTTTTAGCTGCTGTGAGACATGGCATGGCTTTTCCTGTGTGCCTGAGTAAGTGCTTCTTCATTCATATGTTAGTGGAGGGATAGAAAGATCAAATAGCAGCAGTTACACAGCAGTTCGTAAAAAAAATAAAGATACAAAACGCAAAGAGAAATTTCCTATGTCCTAAGCCTGAGCACTGCAAAGGATTTTCACCAAAAGTTGTTCTGCGCCATTGCACCACTGCACAATAAAAGGTCCTTTCAAACAGCTGGGGTCACTATGAAACTTAAAATGAATAAATTATAAAGGGAATGGTAATGTTCTTGGAAACAAATTAAAATTATTTAAAACTGGCTTATGCTGGGATTGGAGTTTTTCTTTCCAAGTTTGCTTGCCTTCTTTAAATGTTACTGAGAAAAATGTTACCAGAATAGGGGACGCAATAGTTACTCATACAGAGACCATTGTAAAACAGTGTCAAAATGTCCAAACATCTTTCAGTATTTTTAGAAAACCGCCTTTTACACAACTAAACAGCAGGCTGTGCATCCTGTGCTTTAAAGCAATGTTTTTTAGCGTATTGATTTCCGCCCCCACACACAATCACCTCATCGCACAGCTCTCTACAAGGTGCATCTATCCACTCACCACAGACAGAGCCTCGCACTAATCTCCTCAAGTGGGGTCTCTCGGGGAGGTAGCGGTATTTGCATCCAAAGATACTGAGGTTGGACGTGTGGTCTCCGAAGAAGCGGAGCTGGCGGTATCTCTCCCCACAGCGGTAACAGAAATTAGTGTTACACTGGGAACAGGTCATGTGGTCACACCCTTCCGTTCTCTGGATGTGGATCTTTATGAGCAGAACAGAAAAGAAAAGATTATTTTTCCCCTGCTAAGCACAGGAAAGTAGACACTACCCCCCATATATACTGCATATATGGTGGGTCAAACAGGTTGACACTGCGAGCAACCCCTCACTTAACTCAGTGTTTGCATTAACTGATGCCCCAACTCTCCTCCAAGAGAACAATTTTCTACAGTGTGTTTACAGAAAAACAAAGTTATATTTGTTTCCAGTCTTTCACTGAAGAAATGTGTTCCACTTATTTCTTCTTCTTTGTTAAAACCACTTCTTTGCCTCAGACGAGAATCCAAATGCCCTTTCCTCTTACTGAATGACTGGAAAGATGAAAAGTTGTGTTATTGCTCAGGCAGTCACATCAGTACCAACTGTTATTAGCAGTAGTACAGTAAATATAGCTCATGAACTCTGCCTGACCCACCGAATATGGGCTTCCCTCTTGTAGCACCTGTGGCCCCACTCCCTTTTCCATTACAAATTGGTTTGGCATTTTGCAACTGAAACAACTCTGCTGTTTGCATGAATGAGAAGAGTAGTAATGGATTTTTTCTTTTTAAAGGAAGTATCTACACACAGCTATTATGTTTGCCCACTAAGCAGGGCTGCCTTAGGCTCTGCTTTCATACTACCACTGACTGCCTGTATCAATTAACTCATTTGCCATTCCTAAACCTCCATGCATTCTTTTGCAGCAAAATGCGTACATTTACTTATTTTGCACGGATTCTGTAAGGCTTCATTCCGAGTTAAAAATTCAGAGAATCTTAGGAGAAAGGATGCCCCGGGGCTGAGCATCTCACTAAATCATATTACATACTGCAACTACGATTACACAGCTACTTTAAATCCTAGCAGCTAAGAATACAGTTACAGCAGTAAGCATTTTTTTTTCTTTTCACAAAGCTGATGAAAACCAACATCCTATTGAAATTTTACTTGTTAAAACTCGTGATGAACACCTCTGTAATCCTTTACTCATATCAGCAAATATTTATTTTGAGGGAAGGTGACATCACTACTTAAAATGGCCTTGCCAGCAACAGAGCACTTACCCGAGTTGTGGAAAGCTAAGGAACTGGCCTCTCACCTCAAGAGAGGCTTGTAACTTGTGGGCATTAGACATTCATGAGAGGGTCAAGTGTGCTTGCACTCTCAAAAGCCTTGCCCACTCGACACGCTACTCAAACTGGTGCTTCACAATCACAGACATGTATAAAAGAAACATAGGGGCGTTTTCCAGCAGCAGTACTTTTGGTAAAAGAATGCAGAGCATAGGAGTTTAAAGTAATTCCAGGTACACCTGCCAACAGGTGAAATACAGAGAACTGTGCAGGATTTTGTGGTTTTGGAGGTAACTCTCCTCATCTGCTGATTCACAGTGATGCATTTCCATCTTAAATGTGGAAATGAGGAAATCAAATCTTCTGACACTAATGAGGAGTATCTGTTTTCATTTGTTTTTTAAATCAAGACTGCTGAACTCTCCTTTCTCTTCTTCAACTTACCAACCCATTTTATTACGTTATCCATCAAGTCAAATAAGAAATCTGTACAAGCCTGGAGCCTAATTGCCCTTCATGCAAATGCTCATTCCCAAAATACTTCATTCATTAAAAAGAAAAAAAAAAAATCTTTGGTAGATGCAAACTCAAGGACCAGCTGGGGATGGCTCTGCGCATTCTACCCTCAACATCCTCTGTAAATACCCATCTTCTCTTCCTTGCTGTGAGCCATCCTTCTAACCACAGTGTCCTAGCTGCATACCAGCATGCAAACCCCAGTTAGTCATCCCCATCACTCCTCAAGTTTCACTTCTGAATCTCATCGTTTCTGCCCTATGTCTTTCAAAACAAAGCTGGAGAAATCCCACAAAACAAGCCAAATAGGTTTCTGCAATCCCCTGAATCCTCCTGTCCCCTTCCCACCCACCCAACAGACAAGTATATTTCTCTTCAAGCCTAAAGAGGTTGACACAGCATTTGTTTTCTTACATAATGCAATTACAGGAGCTTTACTTTTTGAAGATGCAGATAATAAAGTAATATTACAAAAGTTTTGAACAATGTTTCCGTAGAAACTAAAAGCTGCATGTCTGAAACAAATCATTTTACCTGCCTTTTACGTGACATTTTTGTTGCAAAGCCTTCACCTTTTTATAAGGACAGAAYTCATTAAGAAAATTAATTGTGGTGCACAGAGAGCCTGTCAGTGCACACAGACTGACAGAGCCAGGTGAGCTCTGCACAGCGCAGGCGGGCGGCCTTCAAGACGAGCAGGCGACATTTCACCAGAGGAGCTTCGGCTCTGCTTCACACGCGTGTTCCTCTCTCCCCTCCGCATAATCCGCTGACAGAGATGGATGGCAAATCCACAGGATGGGAACGTGATGGCCAACGGGTCAGGTATCACACAAACGTTCCCCCTTGGCTGGCTGAAACAGCAGGAATGTGCTGGGCAGCAGGGATCAAGGGGATCGTGCGGGGCTGGGAATGCGGCTCGCTAGTTAGTGGGATCAATGACAGTGGCGGGACCTCATCAGTCTGGAGCTTCCCAGAAACATAGCAGGGGCAGAGGCGGCAAGAGGAGAGAGAAGAGCTGCCACCAGCCTCCTCGGATTCGGGCACTAGTGCCGGTGTAATACGGCACAGCAAGAGGCACCCAGGACCTGCTCCCATGCAGAGAGGCCACAGCCACCCTTCCACAGCCAGGCGAGGCCCCTCCAGAACTCAAGAAAGGCCTCCAGAACAAGGGACGGTAAAAAAAACAAACCAAAACAAACAAAAARATCACCAACTGTGAAGTGCATAGAGCTGAAGGACTTAAGGCAAGGCTGGAAATAGCAATTTGGCTCTTGGGACAGAGCTTGGGAGGCCTAGCAGATACACCTGACTTTGCAGCTGCACAACAACGTGTACAGATGACTGCAGCAATCTTCTAGAGAATGAGCAGTGGCCAAAGGGATCTTGGAAATATTTCTGKTTTTGCCTTGATCAGCCGAGATCAAGTTGCCTTCAAATCCTGCAAATCTCCTTTGCAAAGGAAGGCACATTTAAAGAAATCTTTCCAAAGAAATCAGTTCAAGAGATCTACCACTCCCAGTGAATGAAGAACAGAGCAGTCACTTCTTTCCCTGTCCTGTGCGAGCAAGCTCRATGCACAGTTGAATCCCTTCCTAGACAAGCACAGATTCTCTTCAGGCAATGAAAAAGAATTCAAAGAACACCTTAAAAAAGTATGTCCTGAGTTATTTGGGAACATTCATTTTAATCAGATAAGCAATTCYACATATAAGTATATATTCCTCAATTTGTATTAACACTCTGATTTTCTGAATTTTCTGTGGTTGCTCAAAGCTTTCTAAGTAAGCACCAGCACTTTGAGTTTCCTCTGTCAGTGCTCACTTTTGAGGTCTGTAGTAAGATAAAACCAATATAAAAACCTTCTTGTTTTGCTGTACTGTAAAAACACTCATGAAGAACATTTTGTTGTAAATCCATTTTTTTTCAAAAAATTTTAAGATATATACACATGTGTGTGTGTATGTGCCTGTATGTGTGTATATATACACACACACACACGCAAATAAAGCAAAATCCCCAAAAGTAGTGAGGAAGGCAAATAGATTTTACATATTTTATGAAAAGGCACTTAATATGCAGTAATTTCCCACCCATCAGCCAACTCCATCTAAAACAATACTACAGCTTTGTTGGAAAAATCTTGAAAAAACGSTTTATGTTGAGTATCTCAAATCAACATATAAGAAATTTGGGAAGGGCTCCATAAAAAACAAAAACAAACCTTCAAGAAGTGTCATAATTCTTTTAAATTATATAAAAGAATGACAACGTGCTATTAATATACTGACATATTTTCACAAAATAACAGTAATGTATTTTGACCATATGCAATATTTTTATTACAGTTGAAAATAATCTCTTCCTGTTAGGTACGCTAAAGCTGTGTCTACCTACGGAAAAAGGTAATTAAATTTAGAGCTTTTTAACAGTGCCCATTAGTATTAGCATTCCCACGGATTACATTCTTTCACAAACACCTACCAAAAACCACTGAAAAACATGTGAATACTTGCTTAAGAATCTGCCTATATACACACCCTATAAGATTACTAGCACTTACAATCTCCCATTTTCCCACCTGCATGCCCAGACACGACATAAATTGTGCATTCTACTTCTCAGTAACATAGCTACTTAAAAAAAAAAAAAAAGTCCATGCACTTTGTTTGTATGYCCATGTGTTTTGCATGGGTATGTAAAATTCTCCAAAAGATATTTGTTAATATGTAAAGTTAAAATCTGTGACACAAGCCAGCGTGTGGAGTTTACTAGTAATTTTGCAGCTCATGTCAGGAAAGAACGTCTGCCCCGACTAGACTTCCTACTTTCAGTTTCTATTTGTTTCCATTTTAGAGTAAAGATCAAATATTAATATCTTGATGCTTAAAATTTTACCTTGACTGTTCCTCAATTTGTCAGTTAATTGAGACGATGGCATTTTTTAAGCAAAGCATGAAAGATTCTTGGAAATGGAACATGAGCACATACTAAACTAAAATAGTCATCACCTGAAACACTCCTACTTGGATCTTGAAAAGGGCCAGATCGAACCCCATGCTAAGAGCCCTGTTTTCTTCTTCACTCTTTTTGAATTGGAAACGTTGACAATTGCCTGGTTCAGTATAGACCATTATCTCATCGACAGGGTATTTTGGGGAATAACTTTCCATATAACTTTCCATATTGCATCCCATCATGCAAGAGGTTCTATTTTCTTTTACCTTAAAGAAAACAAAACAACCTCCCTACTCCCCCCACTCCCGACTCCCCCGCACACACACACACACTAAAAAAAAAAACCCTACAACCTTAAAGTCTTTTTTGGAATTAATACCCAAACTCATCCAGCTTTAGGGGTTAGAAAGAATTGGTTGATGCATAAGTTTTTAGTGTCCAGCTTTTTCATACAAGGTYAGTGAAAAGAGCTGTACACTGAATATTTCAAAAAATTACATCATTTCTTTAAAGAGTATTAAACATACTAAGGTTTGCAACTTTCTTCCCTGTTTGTATCTCCGTCTTCTCTGCCAGCAAGGCTCTTACCTCTGCTTTTCTACATTCATGCTTTTTGGCTTAATTTTTTTTTTTTTTTTTTTTTTTTTTGCCACTGTTTATTTTTGACAAGGCTGACTAGTGCTTATCGTTATATACTTATTTCTCCAGTTACATTATTCACATTGTCCTAAGGCCTGAATCTGGACACAAGCCAAAGAATTAAAAACAAACGGATACTTCTTTCCACTCCAAAGGGAACAAAGTTTGTGAAAGCACTTTACTGTGAAGACTTCCCAGAAAGTGAACGTTTTTAGAACTGGCTCAAACCTATCAAGTCCCACCAAGTGCCAAGTCGTTAAAATTCTGCTCCAAYGTCACGTGTACGTGGGAGGAAGGGTAAACAAGAGGCTGCTCATTTCAGAGCTTTGGGAATTTTGGTTAATGTTTTGAAATCTCTCAATTTCAAGCTACAGCGTCAGAGGCATTTCTTTCCCCCGAGCAGAATAAGAAACTTAGTAAACTGACAAACATTATCCGACTTGCTCAAGAGAAGGTTTGAAGTGTGACTAAAGTATACTTTATCRTTTAAAAAGAAAAATAAACCTTCCTATTCAATACTTATTTCTTACTAAACGCTTCAGATTCTTACTGTGTCCTCTTCTTGAGCTAGATGTAGGGCAATAGATAGGTTCAAATTCCTCCCTTTCAAAAAGCCACGGATCGCCCCCCAACCACAGTGCTCTCAGGACTGTTACTAACTATTCCCTCTAAATAGCTGGGGACGAAGAACTAGTGAGTAAACTCAAGGGCCACCTTCATGAAGGGCAGCTGGAGAGATGCCCGTGCCTGCTCAGTCTCATTTGACTAGTGGGAAATACTGCATATCCTGGAGAAAATAATGAGTTTTGGGGTGGTGCAAGGAGGGGGACACTGCTTCTTCGTCTGCTGAAAATTAAACTAGAAAATAATGAGTTTTGGGGTGGTGCGGAGAGGGGGACACTGCTTCTTCGTCTGCTGAAAATTAAACTAATTTACAAGAAAGAAGGACTGACCTTTAATCCTAAAAAGCTTTTCTAGTTTTGCCAAATCGTGAGGTCTCTCAGAGCTGAACTCACTGAGGATTTTKGGGGGGAAAAAAAMCCAAAAATATATATAAAAAACACAACAGAGGGCATTATATTTCTTCAAAGCTTTATTTCAGGAATAATTTGGACTGCAAYACACATACATCACAAGTATAAAATGGAGCCTTTTCTTAGAATTTCTATAATGTTTATTTTATGTGCAAGAGGTCTGCAGAATCATTTCAGGAATTGGTAAGTAAAATATTTGATTCTTCTCTCCGTGGGCCTGAGCTCAGAATCTGCACAGCAAGCGTGAGTTTTAAACCCAGAGTGGAAGCTACAACTATTTACTTTGGATAAATATTTTTAAGAAATAAACATTTGAAAAAACAACCTGCGAGCCAACAGAAAGCAACTTACCTTGCATTTTGGACACTTCTGGGCATTCCTTTGCCCATGCTCAATTTCGTTGGCCCAGTGACGCAAGAGCTTGTCTCCCTTTTTGTATTCTTTACAGTTAACACCTTCATGCCAGGGAGAGTGGCACTTAAAACACCAGACAAATTGGCAAGACGGACACTGGATCTGCGTAAATGAGAAAACACCACACGTTTGCAAGCCGTGCTCTGCCTCAACGCTAAAGCCCAYCTGAAAAATGCCACCCTTAAATTAAGGCACTAACTGCAACAGCACTCTAAGTTTAAAATTAATTATGAAAATATAGGTTACCATAGAAGCTAAGATTGCTTTTTCATTTTAAAATAGAAAAGCTAAAGAATTTATTGTTAAAGCTAGTGAAAGCTTCAGTCAAAAAAAAAACACAAATAATTTGTTTTAAATATAGGAACTGTTTACCGAATTCACCAAGTGACTCACATGCAAAAAAGTAAATTCCAGAAAATGTGTAAGTGCCCCCCAAGACACATCTCGTATCACGTAAAAACTGAACAGCCAAGTCTCACTTTGGTGGGTCTCTTCAGCCATGAACTGCATTCCCTGGGTTGTTACCAGGGAGCACTTGGTTTTCTGAAGGAAATCTAGGAWGCCCTGAATGCCCTATGAAACTCATCTGAGAAACAGCCCTGGGAAAGGACCAAGAGCAGGAGTCTTCCTGCTTCTCAAACACAGGTGTCAACCCCCACCTTAACCTCAAGCACCTGCTGCTCTTCCCTTGGTTATGTAGCAGTCAGCCGAGCTCAGTCTTTCTGCTAAAAACACTTAAGAGGCAGAAAATGCAAGGTAAGTTTCTTAAATTAGGGGGTGGCAGGGAGTAAAAAATCTCCTTTGGTTTCAAATCACTATGTGAAACACAAGTACCATCATCATTATCTCTTCTTCCAGACTCCCCCCTTTCCCCTCCTTTTCTTTTAAATGAATAGAGAAAAAGCTCCTGTAGCTGCTCTGCCTAGAGAAGCCTTAAGGAACCAGGGCAGGTTCCAGGTGCTGAGGCAGTCAAAGCCAGTCCTCATATCTGAGCATGGCTAAATAAAGCAGGTGCCACAGGCCTCATTACACAGAGGCACACTGAACTTCAGCCGTGCCTGGCAGCCCAACTCTCCAGGTCCAACCCAGAGTGAGGAACGGCAGGAAAGGGCAAATCCTCCCACGGYGGCCGAGCCCTTCCCACCCCGTGCAGCTTCGGGCTCCGTTCTGTGCTGCCAAAGTCGGTGCTCAGAGCTCCCTGGAGTATTTTGCTGGGAAGCAGCCAACATCATTATTTACACGTACAGCTCCTACACCCGTCACTAGCAGCACGTTAGTACAAAGCTGATCTGCTCTCTAACGCGTGACCGAGTGTTGGAGCTCTCTGCTTCGTCCTCAGTGCTGCTCCCCAAGTGGTCTATGCATCAGTAACATGCGKTTTTTTTCTGCCTTTGATATTTTTACACACCAGGGATCTAATTGACCCAACGGATGAAGCCGAGTAGGGCTCTGCATGCCCCGCTGCTGAGGACTTGGCTTTAACTTCACACGTACAAAGCAGAAGTTTTTGCTCTGCAGCAGTGCCAAACAACTGSAGCCTCGTTTGCAGCAAGGGAAATATTTCTGCTTGTGTAAAACGCTCAGTTAAAAAGCGCTGCCTTTAAGCAATGCACTAGGCGATGTGCTGCTTTTTCATGTGCATTTAAGTGTTAGAAAACACTTTCCTGTGTATCAAATGGACTCAAAGAGAATGTAAAGTCAAAGTGGATGAAATTCTGACATTCAGCATCCTGTTTAAGTACCATTTACTGTTTTCCATACATACACAGTATCGGTTTTGATACACTGYAAGATATGCTGGTAAGATAATTACATTTGTCATATGCTTCCTGTCAATGTAAAGACTTACTGAAGACCTAGGTAGGTGGTACAAGAACAGAGTAGATGCCACAATATTTAAGAACAAAATAAAGCCTGTTTGCAGTGAAGCAGCACATTAAAGCTGTAATATCAGGGTTACAGACATTAGTGCTTTTTCATGATAACACAGTAATTTCTGACCAAATTTCTAAGGTCAAGATAAGGAAGAAAAGCAATATAAAATGCAATTTGTATTCTTTCTCTAATCTAGTGGCCTGCTGGTAGCTCCTACATTTAAGAAATGGATGAATTCTTGACACTCTAAGAATATACTGTATTTTTCCTGTTGCCTAAATTACAGGAGAATTTAAATCTCAGTTTTAGAAGAGATTTAAGCATTTCCAAGATGCTTTCGTGGAAGTTAACAGAAGACTTTCTCCTCCTCCTTCAGGGGACTTCTTTACAATGTCTTACACCTGCAAAAGAAGTCCATCAATCCCAAACCTTTGAATTTATATTAGACAGAAWAAAATCATCCATCCATACAGCTCAATGTAAAGTAAGGACTTTTAGGAAACAGGAGGAAGTTTTGAATAAGTCTCAGGTTTTAAGAGGCCACTCCTCAGAGGTGTAGCTTCACTGAATCAGTGTTTAGAGTTAAACACTCTTTGAATATAGATTTAACAAAAGAAAGTAAGAGTGCAGAGATCCTCATGCTTACACTTCATCATAAACAGGTCAAACAAAAAAACAAACAAACAAACAAAAAAAACCCCAGAGCTCTAATGCCCCCATGCTCCTCTGGTTGTGCTAATGCATTTTTTGAGAGGAGTCATTCTACAGAGACAGCACCAAGTCAGACAGAATTAAGTCTTTGCAGGAGCATCTCAGTGCCCGGGTGCTAAACAGAAGGAAATGCCCTGTCCTGCCTCTCTGCTTGTCAGCTGGATTCTCCTAATAGAACAGCTTAATAAGGAACAGGAAAATTCCCACTCTGCAGAAAAGCGGATTTACTGCTACTCTCCCACTCAGAACACCAATTTGTGTTTCCATAGTCCCTTAGAAACCAATATGCACAGCAGGCAGTTTCGATCACCAGCTTATCACAGAACCACAGAATGGTTRAGGTTGGAAGGGGCCTCTAGAGACCATCTAGTCCAACCCCCTGCTCCAGCAGGGACATCCAGAGCACGGGGCACAGGGCGGCAGCCAGGCGGGTCGATTATCCTCCCCAGTACTTGTTTTAGAGCTTGGACCSGAGGCTTTTCAGCGACACACGGCACAGGGACCCGTGACTGCAGGCCGGGCGCTGCCCCAGGCGCGTCCCCGGGGCGCAGGCAGCGGCCCAGGCTGCAGCCACGGCCGAGCGCTCCCCGGCCCGGCGCCTGCGCCAGCGGCAACGGTCAAACGTTTAAGGCTGAAAATAAATGTTAAAACACATAAACCCAAGCCAACAAGTCTGGGTAGCTGAAAATTAAAGCTCACTTTTTAAGCAAAATGCCAACACAAAGAGAGAGTAGTGTTTTCCTCTTCCTGACTCAAATTAATTTCTGGGTCTGCCTTTCTATTATAACATCATACAGAACCACAAGAAACATACCAGCCACAGGGATATATATTTCTAAGCTTCTACCTGCACAGTGACAGCAAATATTTCCAAATACTTTCATTACGTAAAAGAGGCTGAAACGCGGGATGAGACTATAATCCCATGAATGCAAAACACCATTTGCTATCACGAGAGGCCCTGACCCACTGAGGTGGACTAATGGCAGCTGTGTGTATTACCCAACTCAGGCTTCCTAATGGCCTTTTTCCACCTTCCACCCCTGTCCGACAGCACCTYGCACAAGACTGAATCGGTGAGCAGGTTTAAACTCTGAGGGGCCACTTGACTTCACTCTCTTCTATGTGCCTTATGCTCTCAGTGATTATGCTCTATTTGAACATACACCGAGTAGGCAAAAGAGAAATATGACTCTTTAACTATGTCCCTTTAAGCATTAACTTTATTTTTCTTGGACCTAGTGACTGCAAGACAACCCCCAACCCTCTCCAAACTTGGATTCAGGGTGTGACATCAGGGCATGAGCTGGAGAGGCAGGAAGACAACAGGGCAATTACAGCAGCCTGTCACGTTCTTACTCCTTCCTCCTCCGCTCTTCCAAAAAAGATAAATCAGAAAAGATCCACACGATCTGCTTCAAGCTTCAGCATCTGCACAAGAAATCACCACAACACAGACTGTTTGTGACTTTGCAAACGTCATTTGTGTGCAGTTTTGGGCAGTAAAAATATCAATGTCCAACAAAGCAGACAAACTGCATCTAGCGGTGTTTTTTTTTCCCCCCAAATACATTTTTCTCACACAAATATTTTCCATTTCTTTTATGACTTTCACTTGGGTCCATCAGAACCGGGAGGCTATATACACAAACTCTTCTGCCATCCGGAGATCAGTTTCCCTGGAAATAGAAAAGATTGCACAACTTCCCATACTAACCCTCCTGCTTCTCCGCTTTCCGCGGCGCTGCTGCCCTTTCAGGCTGACATTTTCCATTGTCCTAGTTTAYAGCAAAGAATCTAACTACCATTGCCCTCACCTCCCAGAAAAAGGCCTTTCCGAACTGGTCGGGAGTGACAACACGCACCGCTGCTCGCTGAGACGTCAGCAGGGCTGACTTCCCGTCCAAAATAACTCCGAGAACCTCAAGCTGCAGGAAGATTAATGGGATTTTTCTGCTGCTTAATGGCAGGTTAGCAGCGCAATAGGCAGGCTGAATTAATTGTGCAGCTCAATCATTATATAAATTACAAGCTCTTCCTACACAGTCTTTTTAGTCCCAAATAAGCATGGGCTCCTGCCAAAACAGCCGCCCCTTGCTCATCACCAGCTCATTCCCCTCTCTTGTACCAGCTGAAAATAAGCACCAGGACAAACAAACAGTGTTTCCCGTTGGGGCTGATCCTTCATCCGGCCTGCCCATGTGATACCAAAACATCCACACGAGCAAAAAGCAAGTGGGCAGGAATGAAGAGGCCAGCAGAGAGAGGGAGCAGGACAAAAACACTGTGCTCTGAGCAGCCAGGCTTTAGAGGAGACCACAGCCAAGCAGAGCCCCAGCCAGGAAGGTATCCTGAAGTCAAAGGYAAAATTTGATCCAAAAAAAGGTGATATAAAAAAAGCAATATAAACTACACAGATCTCTTATCACAGTATCTTCGCAGACACTATTTTCTACTACATCTAGAATGTGTTTCAGGAATGTGTTCAAGAAATTCTTCAAATAAGGAAGCTTAAAAACTGCACCGAAGAAGCATTTTCAGGTCAGAAGCTAAGCACTTAAATCCTGACTTCCTCGTATTTTTTATGACGTGTCTGTCACGACTAAAGCAAAGGAAAAAAATTTATTGGACAGCTCACAATGTGATAAGGCAGAAATGTTGCCTAAGAATCAAGAATTGTTTCTTCACAGCAGGCTGAAGAGCCAGCGTGGAAACAGGTGAAACCCAGGGCTTGGAGAAGATAAAGAAATCAACAATACAGAAAACCTCACAGAACAAGGAAGCATATAGTCACTCACTCTAGTGAAGCCAGTACATGCTTCACATGTATGAGCTGAACCACTAATTTTTCAGAATTTTTGCCCATTTCCCTTTTTGTACTTGGGCATACCAGCTTTGGTATTAGGCTTATTGGGCTTTTATGATTGTACCAATGACCAAGGCATACACTCCCAGTTTAGACCAGGTTAGAAAGGGTATTCCCTTACTTAAAGCTGAATCCACTTGTAACATGAATACTTCAGGCAGGAAGCTGAATAGCCACACAGCTGAACAGTGCTGTGCTAAGCGTTGCTAACAGCCGAAGGAAACTTGGATAGCAAGGATGGCTTCCCCTTCTWAACTCTCCTTCTAACTAACGTGCAYCAGCTAACTTTCTAGGCTCAGCACATTAAGCCTTTGATCTTAGAAATGGAAAGCAACATCAGCAAACTGACATTCAGCAGTTCCATCCATTTAGATGGCATAAAGCAGCTATAGCAAGGAAAACTAATGAAGCCAATAAACTCAACATCTAAAGAGGTAAGGAGAGATATTTGTAAGATGTACAGTATTGTATCACTTTCTGAAAAACCATCAATCACATTTCAAAAATACCTGTTCAAATATACTCTTGGATTTGAAGCAAGTGTTTTTGTGTTACAGTGTACAGAAAAACAAGAGTACTGACACTGAGTCTTTCTGTACAGTGATGTGACTTGGTTGCTCCTGGGTTCACTTTCCCACATATGACTCATTTTCTTTCTTTCAATGTCAATGCTTTGCTCAGATTCCCCCAATGCAATTATAATTTATATTGTCTGCATGTAAATATGCAAGTCTCTCGGCCTCCAGCCAGGTCTCCTATGCCATCTGCAGAAGATGAGTCTTTACCTCCCAAAGATCAAATTCAAGCCACAGCACAAGATGTTGTAGAAGAAATCACATGACAATATACAAGTTATAGGAGATAATAATGGTCAACAGGAATTTGTGTATATAATTACCCACACATGCCAAGAGCGACTTCTTTTTTTCCCCCCCAACATTCCCCCCCAAAATTTAAAATTAATCACTAAAACTGAATCTATGCTGGTAAACATCACAGGCCCAGGAAGGAGGCTGGAGCCCTGGCCTACGAGTATCCCTGCTGCCTGTGAGCACTTTCCTGGTTATACCTTTGACTAAGGTCTCCGACATGTTCTTCCACACAACACCTAGGCGCAGCTCAAAGGAAATGTTTTGCCATCCTCTGTTCCCAGGAGGAGACTGGAGATTACTGGATAAGAGACACCACACTTCACCACAGGACCAGAAAACTACTTCTGGCCTTTCCTATTTAATGTACCAGATAGAGCCTGAAATTCCTTCTTTGCTTATGATTTCTAGGGTAGTAGTGGGAACATTTTAACTACAGTGTTCTAATTCATAGGAGAGCACTGCTGGGCAGCATGACCCACATTTTGACCAGAAGAACATACAGAAACACTCAAAGCTGCCACGTCCATAACACAAAGGCTGTACAACCCATAACAGCAGCAGCCTCTGATACCTCAAGAGGGACTACAGCAGATCTATTGCAACATTTCACTACCCCTCCCACACTACACATCCTATACGTCTATACCTGAGTGAATGCTGAGCGGATGGGATGGGTGAAGGAGATGGCTGCAGGCAGAGGGAGTTCTACCTGCAATTTGAAGTTTCTCCAGCTCTGTGTAAGAGGTTAAACATCCACAACAGGAAGTCCAGTAGACCTGGTGGCTGCTTGCAGGTAATTTATACATTGCACGGATGTACCTAAGAGCCTCCTAACTCAGGGTTAGCTCTGCCAAGCCTTCAGCCCCACTGGATACACAACCTTCTACCTTTTAATCTCTGTACAAGGTTGACTCTTGTGCTGTAATTAGGCCTATCTAAACAACCATCTAAATTCCTGTTGAGGAAAACTGGTTTGTCAAGGGAAGGCCAGCTCAGTAATGAAATTAATCAAAACAGATCTAATAAGTGGATGGTAAACTAATATAGACCCATGAAACAGGAATCAAAATGCATAAAGAAGGGGCTAAATGACTCACTCTGACTGTGACTATGATGTTGCCAACAGAACTTGTATGCAACTGAGACACCTCCAGAAGTTCAAAGCTTCTTTCAGTAACCTCTTGGGCATTTAATCTTTAAGTTGTGATGTAAGCAAATTTTATACAAGAAAGGCTGTGAAAAAAGGGTTTTCTTGCTATCTCCAAGTTTTCCACGCCAAGCTGTAAAACTACAGTAACATCTAAGTTGTAGAAAACGACTGAAGAAATCCAAACAAAAGAGTGAGACACCTCTACTTCAAGGAAGGAGCGCACTACCTTGGGAGATACTAGGAGTGTGTCTCCTCACACAAAAACGTTCAGAACTTATTTACTTGCAGTTTCAGAGAAAGCTTTTCTTTGCTGGGGTGGTGTGCTTAAAATTACCAGTTAGAGTCACAATTCCCCTTCTCTATCTCTTCTAATCATGACTGCATTGACAGCATTTCAAAGAGGAAAGTAAACTTAACTTCCAATGGACAAGTGGCACAATTTTGGCCTGCCACAAGAAATAAGGAATAAAACTCAACTATTTGAATTATTAGAAATGAATTAACTAGCTAACCAATGATTCATAACACAGATTCTTAAGCACAGCTTACATTAGGTCTCAGTAATGGAAGAAAGGTCATTTAGTGCCCACCAAATGCTGACCTACTTTTGCTGCGCTACCTAATCCACAGCTCTGGCAAGCATGCTCACTTTGTATTTGTTCTCCAATTTGGCAGGGGTAGGAATGTGGCCTCTCCTCCGGAAGGTAGTAAAGTGCTTGCACTGCGGGCATGGCTTGGTGCTGGAGTCAATGCGGCTGAGTTCCAGGAAATATTTATACTTGATGATGTCGTCGTGGGGCAGGTTATAGAGGACAGTCGTTTCATCCAGGTGTTCGCTGCACTCCGTGATCGGGCATTTTATGTCGGCTTGTCCCAGCTGCACCTGCACATAAAGGATAATAACAAAAATACATTACAGAAGAACTGTATGACCGTTCACTTGGAAAAGGTAATATTCTGCAAATACTGCAGAAGGAGGCACTTGTGAGTTTGGCGAGAAAACCCATTTTAAGTACTCTAGCAATTCACCAACTATCACGCATATCATCTTAAAATTACTTGATTACTCCAAACGCTCCATAGTTTTTCCAAAAATACTATTATATCCAAACAGAAAAGCTAGTTACCCCTGGAGAACAGAAACTGTTAAAAAGTACAGTCTCAGCATATATATGGTTGTGATGTTCTCTAAGAAACCAGGACTCTAACCAGCAGCACCCATTCAGCACTCCACGCTCCAGCTGTAATGGACACCCTTCACTGTGTGCCATGCCAAACAGCGGGTCCCAGCCGGACTGGCAGCAGGATGGCTGTGGCGTTGGACACGGAGCTCAAGTAATTAAACCCTGCGGGGTCCAAAGGGAGTCTGCAAGGGCCCAACCGGAGTGTGCTGGCATCTGCCACAAGGTGTCTTGGATCCCATGCATGAGGGGTGGTGGCACAAGTAGAGTTGGTCACTGTTTGATGGTGGAAAGGACATCTCCCAGAATCACTATTGCAAAGAYGGGGGGTTGGATTTGCCTAGATAGAACATTCCTTAAACATGCTCCACCACAGGAATCTCCGGTATACTATATGTGACAAACACTCCCAATTTGGATGCACATCTCAATACTGCATAATGGCACCAAAGGACATATCTTAAATAATGTATTAGTAATGCCTCCCAATTCAGCAAAGAAAGGAAGAATGAAATAAATACAAGAACAGCCACTGCGGTCTCAGCAACAGAGCTGCTGCAAAGGGACCCTAGCATAACTGTATGGGCTCTAACTCAACRAGAATGAACTCAGGCGGGAGTTACAGGATTGGAGAAGTCACAACAAAATGATGTAAACCCCAGGGCTCATCCCGACTTTGAAGACAAGCCRCCACGTTGCGCGGTGCCCTCTCGGGGCAGAGGACGGCCGCTCGCCCCGCAGGAGCGCAGCGCGGCTAACGCAACACGCGGGACGAGGCGCCGTCGATGGGGAGCTAACGTGGCAGGGGCACCGGCTGCCCCACGTGCCGGCCTGGATGAGCCTGGGCTGCAGGGATGGGCTCCTTCCCTTGGGAACACRGACACTGCGGGCAGCTCCTGTGAGCTTGGGGTTCAGCTCAGAGCAGAATTCCACCGCAAAGATGAGCAAGTGTTTTCAGTGTTTGTCTCTCACATGGACTGATGTGGAGCAGGAAGAGCCAGGGCACAAAGACACCATCAGAAAAATGATGCACATGCAAAAAAAAAAAAAGGGTACAACCTCATTTTATGACCAGAAGACACCATTTTACCTGTAGCAGTATATGAAAATTGAGCTCAACTATCTGACATCGCTAGTGATTTGCTGCAGAAATACATGACATTATTGGCATGATCCTTCTCAGAAACTAAAAGCGAGTTCCAATTAGACCACAAGAAAAACCTTCCTTCACGTCTCAGCTCATGCCCGTGGTTTGAAGAGGAAGCCATCATTTGAAAAATAGGTGAAATCTACCATTTTACCACATGATCCTAAACAAACTCACTAGGAATTGTTTCATGGTCAAATTTACCATGGTCAATTTATTATCTAACTATTTTCATAAGAAATGGAGTTCTCCTGGACAATCCAGTTGTGCTGCTAAATGCCCTAGCACAAGCACAGGAAGTTTTGCAAACTTTGAAGCACCCATATCCTGCAATCCAGTTTAGGACCTTTTTTATGTACATGATGAAACCACACAAAATAAAACAACCAAAGAAACAACAATAAAATCCACACAAACCAACAAGCAAACAAAACACACACA